ATCCTGGTGTGGAGGGAGGAGCGAGACGGGCGGCTGGTCCTGGCTGAAGGCTTCGCCTTGGTGGCACAGCAGATCCCTCGTAGCTCTTGGCTGAAGAAGGTGAGCTCAGCGGTTCAGGGAGGGCTGATCTTACAAACCCACTCCTAACGCTAGAGCCCATGTGGCAGAGCTCACATCCCATGTGAGAAGGGTGAGGAAAAGCCCCTCTTGAACAGATGCACTAACCCTTGATCCCCGTCTCCTTTCCCATACTGGAATCTCTCCTTGGAAGTCTGACAACAGGTGTGGTTTTGCCATGCTCTGAAGAGAAGCTGCTGGGATGAGGAAGAGAACTCGCTTGTAATGATATTAATTGGCATGAATCCCCTTGTAGGAGGGTTCTGCAGAGGTTAAAGGCTGAGCAGTGCTACAGATGTGGTGGCTGGTGCCAGCTGTGCTGCTCACTGGGTCCCTGGCAGGCTGGTTCATGCTGCTGCCCCTGTGTTCACTGGCGGCCCCGGCTCTCACAGCAGCTTTGTCTCTTCTCGCAGGTCGCCTGTGGAGAGGCAGCGGTCGGTGTGACCTCGCTGTCTTTCTCCCACTTCGATCCCCGGGTGTTCGTGGTGGGTGTGGAAGGTGGTTACTCCCTGCAGTGCTGCACGGCTGCAGCGACACCGGCTCTGCACCGCACGGGCAGCTCTGTGCCGCTACGGGCACCGGCAGAACTCGCCTTCTCCCCGCACGGTGGCCCTGTGTACTCCGTGAGCTGCTCCCCCTTCCACAGGCAAGTGCTGGGCACCGACACTGGTGCTGCAGCTCGGGCACAGTTACTGCCTGGCTCTAAACACCCAGTTTTCAGGTAGCCCCAGGGGTGGGAGCCTGTGTCCAGCAGCAAAAAATTTCTTCCAAACACCTAATACAAGCTCCCCTTGGTCAGTTTAAAGCCATGACCCCTTGTCCTGTCCCTACGTGCCCTTGTCAAAAGTCCCCCTCCAGCTTTCCTGTAAGTGATCTGCCCCTCAGAAATCTTACTGGTGCCCGCCTGAATTTGAATTGGATCTCCCATCTCTGCCTGCAGTTTACCCACCACCCGCAGAGGAGGTCCCACACGGTGTTGCTGTGAAATGTGCTGACAGCGCTGATTTGCATCTAATTTGCAGGAGACAAACGTGACTCCAACAAAGCCCATCCCTGTCTCAGCAGTTCTAAGGCCTCTGGGCCACACAAAGCCTCATTAAACTTAATTGAGGGCAGTGACAAAGCTGCATCTCCACAGCCCAGGGTACGGGTTGGGAATCACTGCCTTAGGGTATCACTTAGGCAAGGCAGTGATACTGTCCAAGGTCACGCTCCTTGACTGATCTTTAGTGTGTATCTTTAAGCAGTAAAGCAAAGCAAGTTGTTTCTTGTTCCTCCCTCCCCCAGGAACCTCTTTCTGAGCTGTGGGACTGACGGACAGGTCCACCTGCACTCCATGCTGCAGACACAACCCCTCGTTTCTCTTCAGTTATCAAAGAAATACCTGTTCTGTGTACGCTGGTCTCCGGTCCGACCACTCGTCTTCGCAGCTGCGTCGGGTGAAGGCAAGTACCTGCAGGAGCTTGCTCTTAGAGAGGAAACTGGGATCATGCTGGGTATTAATTAGTCCAAGTCAGTTGTATTGATGACACTTCCCGGGAGCAGACAGCAGTGACCATGTCTGCACTGTGGTATCATTGCAGTGGGTAACGTTTAACTCTAGCCAGGACTGCATCGGTCACGGTTATGTTTCACTTTTGATGTATCTCTTCTGCTGCTGCCCCAACCACCCACGGGTGTAACACGGTGAGATCGCCCTCCTGCAGCTTACTTTGGTCTTCCTTGGTTTTCATGTTTGCTTCCAGAGCAAGATTTAAACAGGAACTTTTCCCTTAGCAAACTGCCCAAGTTTTGGGTTAAGGAACGGGGATGGGGCAGCACTTGGCTGCCTGGTTTCAGGTCTCTTGACAGCTGAATGAATCCACACTGTCCTGCAGTGATGTCAGCTGCCTGTCACAGCCCAGACACCATCAGAGGGAAGGGAAATGGGTTAAAGAGAACAGCTCTGAGCTCCAGGCTGAGTAACTACTCTGCTGTTAAACAGAGTGACCACAGCTGTTAAGCTGCAGGAACTGTTTTACAGGAGAGGTGCACCTCTTTGACTTCGAGAGGAGCTCGCAGAAGCCGGCTGTATCCATGAAGCAGGCTGCAGGCGAACACCCTGTGTACTGTCTGGAATTCAACATGAAGCAAACTCATCTCCTGGCCGCAGGGGACGCCACCGGAGCCATCAAAGTCTGGCAGCTCAGTTCAGACTTCACTGAGCAGCGACCCAGGGAAGTGACACATCTGGAGCAGCTGGCAAGTGAGAGCACGGACTGAGGTGGCAGCACAAGCCTGGTACTTCTCTGCCTCCACAGGTTTTCCACTCACCTCTTCCACAGCATTGACCTGAGAAACACTTTGCTATGACAGTGGGAATTTCATCCATGCATCAGTTAAACTCTTATTTAACCATGAAACACCAGCCGCTGTGGTTCGACCAGTAACTTTTATTGAAGCACACTGCACCATGTTTTGTTTTCCCTAAGAGTTTTAAGCTAAGCAGTTTAAGGTTACATCATAAAGTAACACTGATTATTGTAGAGCACGAAGAGAGAGAGGGAGAGAGACACATGCAGAGCTACAGTCAGCAAACGTGAGCATGTCCTTCGCATCTTTTGGTACGAGTGGGGGGGGGGGGGTGTCAGATCAATTCACAAAGAGTGAACGTGTAAATTCTATGTAGTCGTAGGCAGAAGGAAGTTCTCTGCCTTTGCCGTCCATGTAGGGCTTCATGTGGGAGATGCAGTAATCGGCTTGTTCCCGGGTCAGGTTCTGAAAGACACAAACACAGAGGTGGAGATGAACGCTGGGGCTGCGGAGGGGCGGTCATGGAGCCGGCCCGTTCCCAGCAGCACAGGGAGCTACGCCCAGCCTGGAAACGCACTGGCTGCTGGCACAGTTGGCTGAGGTTGGAAGGTCTGACCTGCGCTTCCCACCAAAGAACACAGAGCAGGTAACTGATACGAGGAAGTAGTGCAAACCTCTTTGTTTCTCTGCCAGCCGGTGGGTTCAGACAGGAAAAACCTGCTGTCCTGGCAGGGCAGCGAGAGGGAGGAGACGTTTCTACTGTCTGAGCTTAGCCTTAAGTTTCTCCTTTGCATCAGTGCCTGGAGAAACATCTCCCTCTAGTCTTCACAGTGACGAAAATAAAGTGTCAGTCTGAGGACAGTGAACACCCTCCCAGGCCTAAAGCAGCTCTTGTTTTACTCAGCCTCGGTAGTTCTTTGGCAGTTAAAGCTTTTTCTGTACCTCTCAGAGCCAGGAAAGCAGGTAAGGGCTGTCACCATCATCCCTGCTTTAGCTGCAGAGGGCACCTTGGCAGGTTTGGAGCTAACACACCACCAGTGACTCAAATCTCCAAGCAACCGGTGCCCATCTTTGTTAACAACTTACAACCCCTCCATCATCCCTCCCCACTGGGCCCCAGCCAGCACATACCTGGTAGAGCTCCTCCTTGGTCACATAGGGCTTCCCCTCTGAGCTGAGGGCACGGAAAGCGCTCTCAATCTCCTCACTGGACTTCACGTTCTCTGTTTCCCTGCTGATCATGAAGGCCATGTACTCCTGCAGTGAGACGTGTCCATCCCTGCCAGGGAAACACAGAGTGAGCCCTGCTGCCCATCAACGCACAAAGCACAGCGCTTCCGTACCCGCCTGAGGGGTCTTGGCTTTTCTGGGAGGAGCCTTAAGGCAGGGGAGCATCAACACCACGTCATTTTCTACAGTAAGTACCTGTTGGGATCGACAGTGTCAAGAATTGCCTCAAATTCTGGGTCTGGCTCTCCTTCCTCAACCATAGGCAGGTCGTAGCCGAGAGAGCGCAAGCAAGACTTAAACTCCTGGTGGTTAAGTCGTCCAGATTTGTCCTTGTCAAAGTGCCTAAAAACATAACACCAGAGCTCACATTTTTAAGTGTCAGTTGGTGAGTACCAAAAGCTATAAAGTGGGTTGAAAACCAGAAGAGATTACAACTAGTCCACTGTTCTGGACAAATGAGCTTGAATCAATCAATAGTTCTATCTCACGTGCACGAAAAGTAAGCACAAATTCTTTGCTTTGCTTAAAAAGCATCCAGAAATGGCTGTATTCCCAGCCGGAATTCCCTGGCACTCCCGGTTCTTGCCCTCGTGCCCAGCAGAGGCTCTCTGTCTCTGGAGGCTCTCGCCATCTGGCAGCCATCAGAGCAGCTCAGCACAAACCAGGGCAGACAACAAAGGAGCTGGAAACAGCTCAGTCAGAGAACCCCATCAACAGGAGCCATCCACGCGCCAAGAAGCCTTTTCCGAGCGCTCCCCTGCACTCACTTGAACATCATGCTGAACTCCTTCAGGGCCTCCTCCGTCACTCCAGTCGTGTTTCTGAAAAGGAAGAAGCAAAACTGGTGAACAGCTCCTGAACTGCAGAACTCTGCTGGTGTCCACCTGCCCCAAGCCAGTGGCTGCATCAGAAGGTGAGGACAAGGAGCAAACAGCACATTACAGCACCACAGTTCAACAGAATCAGTCCATTCCTCCAAGATCCTGTCGCTGCTAATGGCTAACAGGAACTATATCCAAAACTCCTAACTTCATCCCTCTGAGGACAGCCAGGAGGTGGTGGGGATTTACAAGCTCCCTACATCCATAAGAGCATACAACTGTTAGCACAGACCATACAAGGTCTGTTTTTAGACATGGGCAGATGCCTCATCTTCTATCGCTCCCCAAGCCCAACACACACGAGCCAGGCAATACCGAGCTTGGATTTGCTGTTCCAGGTTGTGCTGCATTCTCATGCCCAGCTGATCAAGCTGGTCCCACTGCTGGGCCAGCCCCACGGTGCTGTGTTCCGTGTATTTGTTGTCCAAGATCAGTGCCTCTTCCATGGCTGCTCCAAGGTCCTCGATCTTCTTCAGTTGGCTTCGCATAGCTCGGATCTCCTGGTGCTTGCGCTGTTGGGAAGGAAGAGGAGAGAAATCAAGTAGCACAACTCCCCCCTTAAAAGGTTGGACATAGGCTGGCAGGGGAGGGAGGGTTCTATCCTTTTACTGCTGGGATTATGTAGATGTATACTGGGATTTTTAAAATCCTACTCAACAACATTCCTCCTTGTGCACTGTTAGAAAACCACTTCTTGAGCCAAAACACTCTGACTGGGAAACGTGCTGGAAATACTGGATCCTCCCTGCCCCTACGCTGCTCATCAATAAACACAGAACAAAAAGGAAAATGGTATCGGTGTTGTTTTATAGTTGTGATCAAACATCAGGTATGTGAATAGATAATCCCAAAGATCCCTTCAGTACTTGGAATGTGAGCAGTCACTTAGGATTTTACCATGGAATGACACGCATTGCCAGTCCCACCCCAATTCCACGTTTTAGCATCACTTACTTTAGTAGCTTCCAACTGTGATTCTAATGTTCCAGATTCCTCCACCATGCATGACCTAAACACAGAATCACAGTGAGAGAATGCACTTATCCCAGAAAAAAAAATGGCAAGTGGGGCTTGAAATTAACAGTCCTTCCTTGAAAATAAAGACCCTGACAGCAGTGTTGTTCTCCTATAGATATTTAAACACTGGTTTTGTGTTTTGTTCTGACTCATCCTGTTTCAGACGGACACACGTTTGATTTTTATCTCTTTATACAGTTAATTTCTAGCCCCATTTAAAGGCAACACCATCAGCAGCCACACTTCATGCCAGATCCAAAGCACCCGCTTTACTGGACCTAATGAAATTAGGAACTTGGTGCAGTCCCACCCCACTCCCCCGTGCCCAGCACACACACACACACACACACACCAACTACAGGTGATTCCCTGGAGATGGGCAGCGCTTGCCAGTGGGGTACAGGGGCTCTACAGAGGGATGTTACATGAGGATAAAATGGGGGAAAAAGATGTTGAAAACTACTGGTTTGGTGTAAAAGTAATCCTAGTATGGCACAATCACTGCAGGAAGCCGCAGACCTCCCCTACCCTGCAGGGGCTGGGGGACTGTTGCCCTTCCCACCCCTACTGTGATGCACCCAGAGAAACTGAGGCATGGTCACTCTTCTACAGCTGATTTCCACACTGAGCTTCTAGGCACACCGCAGCCCCTGCTGCAGCAGATAAAGATCACACTGTGGTGATGGTCTGAAGATCTATTATATAGGGACTGGCTATGGGAAGTCTCTGCATGCTGCTTCCTGCCCCCCCCCCCCCCCCCCCCCAATATCCTAAGCATCCTTGAAGTAGCAGTGGTTTAACAATCCCTGCCCTTCCAACACGTAGGGTGAGAGCTCACACTGAATGACCTGTGCATGGACAGCAAGCCTGGGCGCTGTCTCCTTTGACTCTGTGGTATATAAGTTCCTAAAACTTAAGTAGCTGGTATTTAAGTCACTAACACCAGGGTTTTCATCCCCACTGAGGTTTATCCTCCTACACACCCTTAAGCTTCTTGAGGGAGATTTCAAGTGCTGAATCACTCTGTACCAAGTATCTGGGGGTTTCTCACCACAGGGTTAAGCTCAGGTTCAATGCACATCTAAAGAGATGAAGCGCACGCACAGAACCCTGAGCAGGAAGCTGGGAACCACCCATGGAGAGAGTCAACAGGGAAACAAACCTCCAAGCATCTCTAAGGCGTGAGAGTTAGTTGGAAAGAAAGCGAGCCTTGGAATTAAAGAGTGCATTTGAAAACCAAAGTGAGGTTAAGAAAATAAGAGGAAAAAACCTTCCAGATAGATCATCCCCAACTTCATACTGATAGACACGAATGACACGACGATATGCTATGCTAGTCAAAGAAAAGAAACCAGGTAAATTCCTTAAAAAGATGGAAGAAAGAGCAAAGGAAAGAACACACCGAAACACGGCCACTGCAGCGGAGCCACACTCCAAGCCAGCACCACCTTACAGCAAACACAAGCAAGTGCTTTAGGAAAGGAAATTACTCAAATGCTGGTTGCACGCACACAAAAATAACGTGTTCTTTTCGTGTAAGTCACAACGACCGAGTCTCACTAAGAGACAAGTTGAAGCCCTGCAGTTACCTCCTCTACAGGTTCTTAAAGGCATTTATTCTTCCTGATCTCTGCTCTGGGCAGCGGAGATGTACACACAGCAACACCCATCTTGAAACTCCTCTGAGGCTCTGCCTTCCCTCTTGCCAAGGAAGGCTAAGCACAGTCAATGCCTCTTTGAGCTAAATCTGTGGTTTTAATCTATTCAGGCAGAATTAAGGACAGAGTCAGCCTGGCATATCAGCAGCCTTCTGGTAATGTGTTCAACAAAAGAGCCTGGCATGGTGATCTCGAACTCTGACCCTACATCTTTCAGTAAATGGCTCCTTTCTGCTGGCTTGTTCCTGGACACCAGAACTAATCTACAACACTGCTTCACAAAGGAGCAGGGAATTCAGCATCCGTTCCAGGAAAATCTGCTCGGTGCCATTAAACTGTACAACAAAACCGGGGTAAATTATTTTTATCTGGCAGAACACAAGACACTGGGATCATTTCAGAGCAAATAAGCGGCAGTTATCTGCAAAGATTCCACCCTTTTATTATGAAAAGCCATCTCTCTCCATGTGAAAGGCTCTCTCAGCCTACAGAGGGCTGACACACAGGCCCTTGCTCCAGGCCCAGACATCATTTGTTGGCATTTTATGTGATGTCTTACTACAAAGCTGCCATTGTGCTTTTAATACTGAGGAGATTTAAATGGACAGACTCACTTGCAGAGGGCTTGGCAGTCCAAAGACATTTAAAGATATTATTTCCTTTCCACTACTTGACAAATGACCAGCATGCATCCCTCCTCAGGAACTATTCCCTTGGACACAAAGTGGACTTAAAACTGCCAGCATCAAACTGCCCTCAAAGCCAGGCACAGCCCTGGGTTCCTGTTGAAAGGGTCTGATTTCTCCTATGGAGGATTTAATCTTTGGGGAGTTATGTGGCAGTTTAAAAAATGGGCAGTTTCTATTTGCATACTACAGAGTTTTAAGATACATAATTTCAGTAAAGCCTCTTCATCAGAATCTTCCCTTCTCCTTACCAAAACCAGTCAGTACTTCAGAGCTTTAATTGTTCTGAGAACAGTTATAAGGGAAAAGTTTATTTCAGTGATTCAAGGTTCAGAGGAATGCTGGAAAACTAGGAATGTCAGCTCTTTTCCAAAGGTAGACTAGCCCATGTCCTCACACACCTCACTGGATTAAGTCTTTTCTTGTACAAGCCCTCAGAGAGCACAAGAACAAAAGTTGGGACCTGCATGGTATGCCAGTGGCTTACCATGGAAGTCATTTCTTCTGCTTTTGAGTAGGAAATCACAACATTTCTACTGGTTTGTACTAAATCTAACCCAAGATCTCATTTCCTGTGTGTGCATCTCAGCCAGACTGCTCTTTTCAAATAGAAGGGTTTTAGCACAGCTTTCACAAGCAATGTAATGACAGAAGGAAGCACACAGATGGAGCAGAACACACCACCAAACATTTTAAAGGTATAAAATTCAATACTAACCCATCTAGCAGGTATGTCCTGTAGGATGTGAAGATCCAAACATCAGGCAGCAGGACAGAGACAAGACAGTAAGAGAGGGACAGAGGTTTGGGTGGGAAGCAAACATCAACAAGTTAAAAATCATATCTGAATTTCATTATTTCATGAAGACGGAACTATTTGTAAACAGAGAGACAGGGGATCACAGGATTACACGGAAACAGAACTCACCTCTGAGCACAACCAGAGAGTGTGTCAGAACTGGCCAACGGCTCCGTCTGAGCACCGTTACTGCTGTTTACTAGAAACATGCTCTGCAGTTCACTGCTATTCTCGGCCTTGAGATTGTTTTATTTCTAACACAGTTCCTAAATCTTTACTCCCTCTCCCTAGGCAAGGGTATTAGCAGACAGCACCCTGGGCAAGTGACAGAAGTAGATTAAGCTTTTTTCCACAGCTTCTTTCTCTACTGGAATTCTCATGAGGTTTCTACTATATCTTCAGTACAAAAGGAGCACTGACAGGAAAGCCACTGGCACTTCACAGTCTGCTTTGAGCTATTTATTCCCCACCCATCCAGCTGTGCTGCAGACTACTTCAGGAATAACTGGAGAAGAGTGGAATCCTGGATAACTGGAATTACTGCAGGAAAATTAATTCAGAAGCAGAAACATTGGTGTTTCAGGGCTTTCTCTTCTCTGTGGCTAACAGAGCCTCCCTCAAACCCCAGCTGCAGGAAATGAACAAGCCCTGAATAGCTGTTTTTCAGCAAGAGATATTTACAACTTAGAACAAAAAGATGGTTACAAATATTAGCTGAGGAATCTCTAAGGGCAGCTCCTGGGAAGACAAACTATACCTGGTCTCCTGAATCCACTGATGGAAAGCATTAGCATGCTGAGCGAATTCCTGGCGTAATTTGTCGTTTTCTTCCTGCCTTCTCTGTTCCTTCTGCAGCTCCAATTCACGCTCCTGAGAAACGAACAACAGCAATTTCAAACAAAGAAATAACATGATTGTCCTTGGCCTGTAATAAAAAGCAAAAGCTCAGAGCTGCAGCCCAAAACAAGACTGAATGCTCCAGTGGTGTCCTGGATATCTAAAGAGAATCATCTGAGATGACAATGTAGAATGTTCCTACTTAAGTCTTGACACCTGGAACTGAACCAGCAGTTATTTTTCTGCACAGTATGGATGTTAAACTTACTTTATAGCTAGGAAATGAGGTACATCTGCTTTGTCTTTGAAAGACCACAGGTGGAAGACCATGAAACCAACTGGCAACAGCACAAGTTTATAGCTAATGTAGCTAATGGCAATCTTTCTCTGCTCACAAATCTCAAGGTATTTCCAGCTGTGGAGACAAACTTTTATACTGATTATCTTGGAGGAAAACTTAAAGGGAAGACCTGAAAGGTTGTAAGCTATGAAAAGAGTCCTTCTCTCTGACTTGCCTTGATAATTTTCTGCAGGTTCCTCCAGGTTTCTTCAAGAGCCTCCATAGTAAACCAAGTGTATGGGTTGGAGGCTACACGGAAGCTCTTGATCTGGCGGTCGAGCTCTGCCAGCTGGTTGAAGTCAGCCTGGGCAGAGCTAAGTGAAGAGCGGAAAGCATCATGAGCTTCTCTCAGTGCTTTGATCTCTTCCAGCGAGTTACAGCGCACAGGATCTGTCAGGTCCTCTTCAGCATTCTCAAACCAGCTGTTGAAGGCAGATGCCTTCTTTGCAAAAGTCAGGAACAGATCCTCAACCTTGGAAAGAGAAAACAAACCAGTTCAGTTATGCAGTAATGCGAATGTTCTACACGAGTTGATCTGGAACTAACATCCATCAGTTACAGTTTGCCTTTATTCCTTTTTTCTTCCAAACACCTACAAAATTCTGACGGTAAGTCTCCAGGATTGTTAAAATCATTAGCTACAAATGACAAAGCTACACAAGTTGCAAGTGTGATGTATGTTACAAAGAGACCGATTAGATGTTTGTAGCCCCATGGTTGATCACTCACCTTTCTGAAATGCTCCTGAGCCTCCAAGAGTTTCTTTTTCCTGGCAGCAGAATTGGCAAGTAGCTGATTCCACCGTTTCATCAGGGAAGCGTGCCGAGCCTCAATGGCCTTTGACTGGATGTGTTTGGCTGCTAGTAGCTGGTCTTTCAGAGCTGTGATGTTTGCAATTCCCTCCTGCTGGAAAGCCTGAAGTCCAGCATCAAAAGTTTCCTGAAGCATTAAAAGAGTATTTCAGACTGTGCTTTATTTAACCATTCCAATATCCTGCATATATTTCAAACATAAGTACTAGATCTGTGTATACTGTAGAAGAGTTCTCCTGTTCTCTCCAGCACTTCCAGGGTGGGAGCAACATTAGCACTAACCTGTTTGGTGAGTAGGGTTTGCACAGAAGAGAGGTCACGTCCATAATCATCTGTCTTCAGACTGTTTTCCTTCTCACCTGGAAAATGAAATAAATGTAGTAAAAAATGTCAGGTCTCTTATCTCAAACATTCCCTCTATCCCAATCAGGTTACCTCCAAAGCAAATCAGTACAGCACTGCTGATTACTCTGGGTTTAGGTCTGCTTGTTACAACAGCAACTGAAAAGCTAGTTGAGGTCTCTTGAAATAGAGGAGTATTTTGTTTTCTCTGTGCCAGACTACGGTGCTCCATATAGGACATACCTATCCATGACTCCACTACATCTGCTTTCCAGTTGAACTGCAGGAAGGCAGAGTTCTCATCCAATTTGGCTTTCCTCTGAGCTGCTGCTTTCTCCAGATCTGACACCTTGCCTCTGAGGCCCTTCATCTTGGCTGTAATGTTCTCCACATGGTGATTGTTCTACATGACAGGAGAAAAGAACAAATGCATCTCCTATGATGTTAAGGTCATTCAAGGCATCCAGTAAGCGGGTGACAGAGCAAGGGCTTCAGCTGAAAGATTCTGTCCAAGAAATAGCTCTGAAAGCACTTTATACCCACAGCTTATTCAGCTGCAAAAAATGAGTAAAAAGCACTTTCCAAAGGATGACGAATCAGTCCTCAGAGAAGAGTAGGTCTACTTTGACACAAACATGTCCCTGGTAGCCTTTGAAGGTTTTTCTTTACCAGTTTATGCTCACCTTTTTAATGAGATCCTCCCCATTAGCACAAACATCGTTCACTCTGTCTTTGTGGACAGTGAAATCAGTCTCGAATGCTTCGTGCTTTTTC